GTTTACTACGCCTACAGACGATCCCTAGATTCTCTGAATTTTTCTCCAGGAATTGAAACGCGTTTATAGTACCTACAAATGTTCCAAATAAATCCAAAATCAATCCTAGAGCCCACTCTACCAATTTCAAAAATCTGACACAGCGGCTCTGCCGTGCTTCGGCGACGGTGCCGCCGCTCGCGGTGGTGACCTGCCTTGGGTATGTCGTTTTTTACATTTTTGGCCGAATTTGGTCGATTTTGCATCGATTCCTGCAAGCACACATGCTAAAGGGCCTCGGTGGGCTGAAAAAATATGAAAAACTAAAACTCACCGACGGTGGGGCTCTCCAGCGTGGTAGCTCCTCCGGCTCACGTTGCGGTTGTGTGTTTCGCTTCGGTCAACCTGTAGATAATAAAACGGTACAACAGTAAAAAAATTACGCGAAATGGGAATCGGGAAGGGCCTTATCAGAGGCGATTTGTGAAATTTCCCGCGGCAGCACTGCTGGGATTTGTCGGTATTTTTTGACCAATTGGCCGGTTCTTTCACTCTGATTTGACCATGTGTGAGATTAAAATTGAATTTCGTGTAAAAGGAGAAATTTTTACATTTTTTGGCAGTCGAAAAGGATTCCAGTATGGCAGCGGATGGCGGCGTCGGCTCCCCGGCAGCTGGATTGTCTTCTCCAGTGAGGGGTTTTTGCGGCTAGGGTTAGTGTTTGGTACGGATGGAGGTTATTTATACACATTAGCTTTTGATCTGGGTCGTCCATCGTGTTTGATCTGGATCGTCCAATCGCGATTAAATAGGGAGTGAATCTGGATCGTTCATCGCGATCCAATCTACGCCGTCCATCACGATTCACTCTGGACCGTCTGTGCGCGTAGGAATAGACCTCAACCATTCAATCGCGCGCATGCGGATCGCCCACGTGGCTCCCCCCGCGTGGCCTCCTATGTTAACGCCTCTACCACTTGGCGTGTCCTGGTTGGTCGAGCCTACTGACCGAGTATCTAACGTGGTAAATTTTTTTAAAATTATATTTTAACCCCTGATTTCTAATTTTTCTTTCAAGAATACTCCCAAAACCCAATTTTTTACCTTTTTTCCCAAAATTATTTTCAATTTAATCCTCCATCAACTTTACTCTATTTTTTTCATTAAAATAAAATAAAATAAATATAATAAAATAAATTGAATAAATAAATAATTATATTTATTAATAAAAAAGAGGTTTTGGTGGGTGTTACAAATTCACTTTAAACTCTCTTATTTACTCATTTGTTATTTCTTGATATGTTTTCTTTTTTTTTCATATAAATATCTCTCCTAAATATAGTTTTACTATATTTAATAAAAAATTAGATAGAGATTTGGTAGTTTACCCTTGTCGGTTTTCTTCACCATTTATAGATTCTAGTGTCACTCATTCAGTGGCTTATGATTTTTTGTTTTGATAAAATAGATTTAGTCAGTAGATTTACATTTTTCTCTTGTGATTTTTTTTTTTGAATATCCCTAAATGTTAATTGTAAAGTATGTAACTTAAATATTTCTCTTGTTTTATCTTATTATATATGAATGCTTAAATTTGAATGATATCAAAATAGAAGATTAACTTTGATTTTATTTAATACATGATCCTACTAATTGTTATATCATATTATTATATGAATTGTTCAACTTCTCATTTAGCAGGGCCTCTTAGGCATGGTCGACTTTTTTCTATTATTTTTTACTCGATTTTGTGTTCAACTAGTTTTTTCACATTTTTTTTGTCCTTCATAACCTACTAGCAGCCTCCTATGCAATTTAGGGTTAGCTTTTTTTTTTCTCTCTATATTGTTAGTTGGTTGACTTTTCAACATCCTAATCTCTCCTATTTTTTTTTTTATATTTTGATAGTTTTTATTTATATTTAATCTATTATCTTTATGGTTATTTATTTTTCAATCAAGATAAAGAGTTTTTTTAAGTACAAAAATTTATTAATCATTCAACTTTATTTGTAGGATAAGAAAAATGTTATTATTATAATCATTTTCTTTTTTCTTTTAATTTTATCTTAAAATGCAAGATTTGGAACAAATAAGCATTGATAAATTAAAAAAATTAATAGATGACAAATATCTAGATGTTAGATGATAATTCTTAGACATACATAATACCTAAATTGTAAAAATTTGAGCATAAACTACCGAGAGACTACAAATGCAATATAGTTGCCTAATAACCGCTTATACTTTTAAACTTTGTTATATATTTTCTACAAGGTTATAGATGAAGGTATATTCACTATGATATGCAAATATCTATTATCGGTCGTTAAGAGGACTGACTACCTCTATTAATTACAAACACCCGTTACTGTAATAAATAGTTGAGGATGGAGTACGAAATATCAACATACACAATACCTTATAGATATTAAATAATAAAAAAATGGAGGATGTTCTAGATTATCATCGTTTCCTTACGCTCTATTTCTCTCGCACATACACACATCATTCTCTTAATAACTTGCGTATTAAATAATTTATAAGATAAAAATCAAGATAGTTGATAATCATTTTATTTTTAGTCTATTAAGTCAGCACTAGAGATTGTTTATTGAAGATGATGTTAAATCATAATTTAACAGTAATTTTAAATAGAACGTACAAATTTTGCATCTTGTTTTTTTTAAAATTTGAACAGAATACTTTAATTTATATGATTATTTAAAAATTCAAACGTATAAAGTTAAGATATTTTTATTGTATGTATCATAAGTATTTAATTTAAAATATTTTTAAATATTTATTCTAATTTACTAAAATAAATAATAAAAATACATAGAAAAGAAAAAAAACTAACAAGTGGTCTTCATCGAGTGGAAATAAAGTTTCTACAAGAAATAAGAAATAAATAAATAAATAAATAAATAATAATGAAGTAAAAAGTGAGGAGGAGGCATCTAGGAGTAAGTAGAAGAAGGGAGATAATAACATGCATTATTACTCATATTGTTCCTTTGGATTAACATTGAAGATAGAGAGAGCAACCCAACCCAACCCATCCCCCCCCCCCCCCCCCCAAAAGAACACAAGTGGAAGGTCAAAAAGTAAAAGCAGCCTATCACATGTTGCCACGTGTCCTCTGCATACATATTCAATCAAGCCCCTACTCTTTTTCCTTTTTTTAATATTAAAATATTTTATAACCATCATTATTAGTAGTTTAAACAACGTGTTTAAGATCAATTTGGAGAATGCGTATTTATTATGTCATTATGAAAAGTTAATCAAATCCCAAGTGGTAAAACTAGCACATACTTATTGTTTAATTAACAGAGTAAATAGTTTTTTTTTTTTTTTAATATTGTAATCTTATCTTAAATAAAAGTAAAAAACGTAATTTTTAAATTTAATTTGTAACTTGAACAACCGTTACACTAAAAACTCATTAGTTAATGAATTTCAGTTCTAATTATAATTGAAATTTGTTATTCTTAAAAATTTTATTTTAAATAAATACTAATTTAATAATAAATTATAGATATGAAAATTAGTATTTTATATTTTAGAATTACTTGAATTAATTTTAGTGTATTTAGTATTGTGACATTTGACTTGTAATGTAATTTTATAAATTAATGAATATAATTGTAATTTCTTAATGTATTTAAAAGGAAATGTAGAAGAAAATATTTATTTATTAATTTATTTTTTTTTTAAAAAAGGAGGCACCGACAGTCTCAAGGGTTGAGGCACATGTGGCAATAGATATTGAGTGGACAGTAGATGCCAGTCTACCCATGAAACAGACAGCCTAATAAAGTAATCTTAGAAATGAGGCTCAAAATATATTATGTTTATTTGTCAACCATATTATAACATATAATATATATTTTATAATAATTAATTAATTAATATAATTGACAGGCTTTTATTGCTTTAGGACAATGATGTGCCTAATAATTGCTCATTTGGATTTCTTCTTCTTCCTTTTTGTTAATTTATTTATTTAATTTATACCCATTTTAATCTGCTACTGTTTTAGTATTTAACTAAATTATTTTTCTTTATTTACATAAAATTAAATTATGGGAAGCAGCTAAGCATGTACCGAGACATTTATTTTTTGTTTGATTTTCTAAATTTGTCAGTCTCTCACCGACACTACTTTTCCATTATATCAAGTTAGGTTTTGAAATCTAAATTTTAAATGTTGAAAACCACTATTTTTTTTTTAAAATTTATATAATAAAGACAATTAGTAGTTGTTGGCTTGTAACATTATATAAAAAGGTATATACTAATTGCAATTGAATTAGTATTGGGATTATTTTATTTACTATTGATAAATAATTATAACTATAATATTTTGTTATTAAAAATAATCCTAAAAAGATTAAAAAAAAAAATTAACCATTGCATTTCTTAATCTTTTTATCTGATAAATTTATTTCATTATTTTCTAAATCGAATTAAAATATAATATTAATTATTTACTTGAAAAGAAATAAAAATAATTTAAATAGAAAAAAAAAAAAAAAAGGGAGACGTGTTTAAGTTTAGCAAGATGGGGGGGTATTGCCTGCCTGGCATTCTCAAACCAGGGAGATTGACACCATTAAAAAAAAAGAGTCAAATACTGTCGGACAGTCAAAACAGTAGTGACAGTAAATTTTGTAAAAGTAAAAAAAAAAAAAACTCAGAGTTAAAAAATATAAAAGAAGAAAGATGGATCTACGACTTCCTCACGCGGCTTTATGTTTCACTGTACTACGCGTTTTCCACTCTGTAAACTTACCCCTCTCGGTTCTTACTTTCCATAAATAAAATTAATATAAATTAAAATATTAATTTTGGCCTACCAACTATGGCGGGGTACAGCCCAGCGCCACCATCACTGTCTGGGGTCCACCACCAATGCTAACCTTTTTTTTTTTTTTTTTTTAATTTTTCAGTGTTTTTATTAATTTTATTTGCTTTTTTTTTTTTTAATTTATTTCTCTCTAAATTGGATACTTTCATTTTCTTCTCTCTCATCTTCTTCTCTGTTACGCCTCCCCATTTCCACACTCTCTATTTCATTTTCTCTCTCTACCCGCAAACCCCCCCTTCCTTACTCTGCTCTTAGATTCAGACGACTCAGAAACTTGCTTGCTGGAGAATCAATACTACTCAAAAGCAAAACCCTTGCCGCTTTTATTTCTCTTTATTATATTCTCGAGACGACCTGCATTTTTCAATCCCGTTTTCTCTACATGTGATGTGATGGGAGTTCATCACCCTTCTCTTACTGGATCTTCTCTTCCAGTTCTTCTCAGCTGAAGCTTAAGTTTCGTCTTGGTTCTTCTGCATTTTACAAGACCTAGTTTTGTTGATTTCAGAGACTTTTGGCTGATCCACCGGTATATGTGTTTCAGCCATGAACACTGGTGGTCGACTCATCGCTGGTTCTCACAACAGGAATGAGTTTGTGCTGATTAATGCTGATGAGAATTCGAGAGTAACTCACCTTAAACCCTCTTTATTTACTCGTTTACTGTTTCCTGATCTGTTTTTCTTTTTTTCCTACAAATGTCTCTTTTAGATCTGGGTTTTACTGTATTTAATTACAAATCTGATAGAGATTTTTCGATTTATCCCTGTCGGTTTTCCACGAATTCCAGTGTCACTCACTCACTACCTGTGGTTGTTGTTTTGATAAGATAGATTTCGTCAGTAGACCTACATTTTTCTCCGAATTTTTCTTCTTTGATCAACTTTCTCTACCTTTTCGGCCCTCGTTTTTTTATTAGCCTGACGACGTTGAAAATTCGCACCTTACTCTCTGAATTTGTTCCATTTTACGAGGATGGGTAAAACAATCGGTGCATTTTGGTTTTTTCTGCTTTTTTGTATTGGATTTATTAGAATTGACTCTGATTTGGAGTAACATCCGCTGGACTTTGTCCTCATATTGTTAATTTCTTGAGGTGCCTCCACAAGTTTCTCAAAATTTACCTATTCATGCTGTGTTTATTCTGAAATGATTAAAATTTCCGTGGTAGTTCCTCTGATGTTGGAAACATCCCTGGAATCTTTAACGTTCAAACCCTTTTCAACAGCTTATTTTCTGGATTCTAAATATATTTAGATTATATGATCCAGAAAGTTAACAAAATGGGATGTGAGACGGATTTCATCTTTTTCTCTTTCTCTGTCATATAAATACCCGCATGCAATAAGGGGAGGAGAGATAACCGGTTTTACCAAGTAGTAAAGAAATAGGTCAAGACAGAGCAACTAAATCGTTTGTCTTATTCTTATGGAATTCATTTTCTGTGTTTGATGGAACTGATAGTTCTGTAACAAATTCTCAAATGATGAGCATTGAACGCTGACTTCTCATACAGGAGAGTGCCACTCTTAATCCAACTTGGCATATCGACCTTTTAATATTTCAGTAGCCATGTCTTCGGGCTTATTTAAGAGGCAATTGCATGTCTTGTTCTACTGGTTTGATTCTTTAGTTTGTCTGAATTTCTTTTCACATTTGGTTTAGATTTTGATGATGTCCTATTATGCATACAGATAAAATCAGTGCAAGAATTGAGTGGGCAAACATGTCAGATTTGTGGGGATGAGATAGAGATTACAGTCGATGGGGAGCCATTTGTTGCCTGCAATGAATGTGCATTCCCTGTGTGTAGGCCTTGCTATGAGTATGAGAGGAGGGAGGGAAATCAGGCTTGCCCACAGTGCAAAACAAGATACAAGCGCATCAAAGGTGAGTTCCTTGGATATCTGGATTCTTCAGTTTCAAGTTGTGGGAATCCTGTAGCTTACCTTGATTATGCAAATTGCAGGTAGTCCAAGGGTTGAAGGTGACGAGGAAGAAGATGACATAGATGATTTGGATAATGAGTTTGACTATGGGAATGCTGATGCATTGGGTCCTCAACAGGCTGCGGAGGCAATGGTCTCTTCACGTCTTAATACTGGTCGGAGTTCTCACTCTAATGTTTCTGGGATGCCCACGCAATCAGAAGTTGATTCCTCTCCCCTTGGCTCCCAGATACCTCTCCTGACTTATGGTGAAGAGGTGATTGATTTGCTAACTTCCTCTCCCTCTTTCTATATGCATTCCCCAGTTCACATGTTAGTGTAGGCATATTTTTTAACATACAAGTGCTGATGCTTTTTCCTGTTCCTCAGGATGCTGATATATCTTCTGACCGACATGCTCTTATTGTTCCCCCATTTATGGGGCATGGGAGTAGGGTTCACCCAGTGCCTTTTACTGAGCCATCTATACCTTGTAAGTCTATGATCATGTCCTTGCATTGCTATCTGTTTTCAATGGGATTAGTTATCTGTAACTGATAAACGTCCTGCTTTTACATTACAGCACAACCTAGACCTATGGTTCCAAAGAAAGATATAGCAGTATATGGGTATGGGAGTGTTGCATGGAAGGATCGAATGGAAGATTGGAAGAAAAGACAGAATGAAAAACTTCAAGTAGTTAAGCATGAAGGAGGCAATGACGGTGGAAACTTTGATGGCGATGAAATGGATGATCCTGATTTGCCAATGTAAGTAGTTTCTTCTTGCCTTCTTACTCCTTGTGTATTATATGGCTGGTTTGTTTCTTCCTGTAAGCTGTTTTAGCAAATAAGGGAAGTTCTAATGTATTCCTGAAAATGAATTTAGCATTCCGACAAATGTAGACTCTGCTACTGTTTTTTGAGGATGGTTAATTCTGTTTAGGATGGGAAGGAAGCAAACATGTCTAGGTTGTTGATTGCCTTCTGAGCTAGATGCTCTCTTCGCACTCTCCATGCTTTACGAGAAAATAAATAAATGAATAAATATTCTTTGTGTAAATAAGAAAATCATGATATTGATTCCAATTTTTGTGGTCTTGCAACTTTGGACTAGGTAAAATGGTTCTCTTTGGGTTCACGTTCACAAGATATGGCTGGTGCATGGCATATGCTATTATTTTGTTTCCTCTTATCCCCTAAATCCTTGCAGTTGAATTTAACCCCTCTGTCAACATTTTAAACTGTAGTGTCTATAATTTTCTGAAGAAAATTTCTTTCGCATCTTACCCAGAAATGGTATTTAGACATATAGTTAGAGCTTGTGAAATGGCCACTTTGTATCTTTGTGCGACTTTTAACTATCTATTTGAAGGCTTTCTTTCTGCTATCTTAATTTTTGAAACAAGCTTTACTTCTATTATACATGCTTATGGTATTTTTTTCTGTTTGTGCGCATTATCAGGATGGATGAAGGCAGGCAGCCACTCTCAAGGAAGTTACCCATTCCATCAAGCAAAATTAGCCCATATAGACTTATAATACTGCTCCGCCTTGTAATTCTTTCCTTCTTTTTCCATTATCGACTTCTCCATCCAGTCGAGGATGCATATGGCTTGTGGTTGACATCGGTGATATGTGAAATATGGTTTGCTGCATCATGGATTCTGGATCAGTTCCCAAAATGGTATCCTATAGAACGAGAAACATACCTTGATCGGCTATCACTGAGGTACAAAGCAAATTTGCACAATTGGACATATTCGTCATTATTGGCTTGACTCCTTTTTCCTTTTGATGTTCATTCTTTTCTCTGCAATTTAGAAATTTGGCCTCACTGTTTGCACCAAATTTCAGGTATGAGAAAGAAGGGAAGCCATCAGAGTTAGCTCCTGTAGACATTTTCGTTAGTACAGTTGATCCAATGAAAGAACCGCCGTTAATCACAGCAAACACAGTTCTGTCCATTCTTGCAGTTGATTATCCAGTCGATAAGGTTGCATGTTATGTTTCAGACGACGGTGCTGCCATGCTTACATTTGAAGCTCTTTCTGAGACATCTGAATTTGCAAGGAAATGGGTACCTTTCTGTAAAAAATTTAACATTGAGCCCCGTGCTCCAGAGTGGTACTTTTCACAGAAGATGGACTATTTGAAGAATAAGGTACATCCAGCTTTTGTCAGGGAGAGGCGTGAAATTAAGGTAAGTTAGTTATTGATTCGTACACATCACTACTGGTTTTTATTCATACAATAATGTTTAGATCATAGAATATGTAAGGTTCCTTATTAATGTTTAATTGTTTGATCTTGTTGGTTCATATAGACCACGTAAAATTAAGGTATATGAGCTTTCTTGGACAATATAACTTATTGGTATTATGTTGTGTGTCCAGAGAGAATATGAAGAATTCAAAGTGAGGATAAATGGGTTGGTTGCCACAGCACAAAAGGTTCCTGAGGAAGGTTGGACAATGCAGGATGGTACTCCTTGGCCTGGAAATAATGTTCGAGATCATCCGGGAATGATTCAGGTATAATTGATAAATCTTTTATCTTTCCCGGTGAAATATCCTTGTAGCAGAGTTGGTTAAGTTCTTGATGAATCATCATTCAATGAAATGTCCTTTTGCACAAGGAGGTGGCATTATTTGTTTGAGCATGTGAACACCAAGAGAGCCATGGAGCTTTATTGATTTTCCTATATGTTCATGGAATGGAGCTTTAATGAAGCTTCTAGATGTCAATCAATGTGCCTTATGATACTACCATGAGTAAAGACCCGGCCTATGCAATTATTTTGTGCATTTTTTTTGCCTATTCATGGTTTTTACCCAGTAAATAATTTTCCGTGCTTCGTCATTTTACTACTGCCAATGGGATTTAAAAGAAATTTTGTGGTTTTTCCAAGAAAAACTAACTATAGGTGGCATTTACCTTTTTCTCAAGAATTTAGATGGCTGAGATGACCTTTTGTTCTTGAAAATCATACATATGCTGAGTAAAGATGTATTTTCCTCCATAAACAGGTCTTCCTTGGTAATAGTGGTGTTCGAGATATAGAGGGAAATGAGTTACCTCGTCTAGTTTATGTTTCTCGTGAAAAGAGACCAGGTTTTGAGCACCATAAAAAGGCTGGAGCTATGAATTCTCTGGTAAGATTTGATTTTGCGTCAATGGTACCGGCTGATATTTCTTTTGTTCTCCATCTTTTCCTCATTGAAAGTATCTCATATTTCTTGGAACTAATAAGCTTTTCTTTTTTACTTAATGTTATTTTGAATCCTGTCACTGAAGATACGGGTCTCGGCGGTTCTCTCAAATGCTCCTTATCTTCTGAACGTTGACTGTGATCACTATATTAACAATAGCAAAGCACTTAGAGAAGCCATGTGTTTCATGATGGACCCTACGTCTGGAAAAAAAGTTTGTTATGTTCAGTTTCCTCAAAGATTTGATGGGATTGATCGACACGATAGATATTCAAATCGGAATGTTGTGTTCTTTGATGTATGTATGACATGCTAGTGTGTTTATCTACCGTTATTATTTCTAGAATTTCCCCTTATATAATCTGATTAATTTATTTCAAAATGGAAAACAGATAAACATGAAAGGTTTGGATGGTATACAAGGACCAATATATGTTGGAACTGGGTGTGTCTTCAGAAGGCAGGCTCTCTACGGTTATGATGCACCTGTCAAGAAAAAGCCCCCACGCAAAACATGCAATTGTTGGCCAAAATGGTGTTGTCTGTGTTGTGGGTCAAGAAAGAACAAGAAAACGAAACCTAGGGCAGAGAAGAAAAAGAAGCACAGGGAAGCATCAAAGCAGATACATGCTCTTGAGAATATTGAAGAGGGCATTGAAGGTAAGAGTTTACCTCAAATAAGCTTTGCTAGGGCAGTAGTTTTCTTATGCATAATCTTGTTTTTTAAAGTTTTGGAAGTGAGTCTAATAATTTGTGATCATTTGACAGGGTCAAGCACAGGGAAATCATCTGAGACATCTCAAATGAAACTGGAGAAGAAGTTTGGCCAATCCCCAGTTTTTGTAGCCTCCACCCTTCTTGAGAATGGTGGAGTTCCTCATAATGCAAGTCCAGCATCTCTACTGAGAGAAGCAATTCAAGTCATTAGCTGTGGGTATGAAGACAAAACTGAATGGGGAAAGGAAGTAAGTCATCTTGGAAGTTAAATATTATTTAGAATTTTCATGTGCAACCTTTCTCTTTGTGTCCTTACCATTATCATATGTGAAACCAGGTTGGCTGGATATATGGTTCAGTGACTGAGGATATTCTGACAGGCTTCAAGATGCACTGCCATGGCTGGAGGTCTGTTTACTGCATACCTAAGCGACCTGCTTTTAAGGGATCAGCGCCAATCAACCTATCAGATCGTCTGCACCAGGTTCTTCGATGGGCCCTCGGGTCTGTTGAAATTTTCTTGAGCAGACATTGTCCAATTTGGTACGGCTACGGGGGCGGATTAAAATGGTTGGAGAGATTTTCTTATATAAACTCAGTTGTTTATCCATGGACCTCAATTCCCTTGATAGTCTACTGTGCCCTTCCAGCAATCTGTCTTCTTACTGGGAAATTCATTGTTCCTGAGGTAAAGCCCATCCGTGATGTTTCTTCATTCTGAAATGAAAATTCTGATTTCTGAAGTATTTTTTTTCTTCTGCAGTTAACTGTTAATATTTTACTAATAAGTAAGTAATTTCTTAAAAATTTGAATCTGAGGTATTCAATTACTTTTATGGTTTGTGATTAATTCTGTTTAAAAATTGGCCTAAGAACAGTTTTTTGATTTCAAAACCTGTTTATATAGTCTCTGCATCTAAACAAAGTAACTATCCTAGTTCAACAGGGCTTTCAGCTAACTCAGGGTTCTGGTGCTTGCAGATCAGCAATTATGCTAGTATTATTTTCATGGCTCTCTTCATATCCATTGCTGCAACTGGCGTACTAGAGATGCAGTGGGGTGGTGTTGGAATAGATGATTGGTGGAGAAATGAGCAATTTTGGGTTATTGGAGGTGTTTCATCGCATCTTTTTGCCCTTGTCCAGGGTCTACTTAAGGTTTTAGCTGGTGTGAGCACAAACTTCACAGTCACCTCCAAAGCAGCCGATGATGGGGATTTTTCTGAGCTTTACCTCTTCAAGTGGACATCATTGCTGATACCTCCAATGACTTTGCTGATCATAAATGTGATAGGTGTTGTGGTTGGGATCTCCGATGCGATTAATAATGGGTACGATTCATGGGGTCCCCTGTTTGGTAGGCTATTTTTTGCCTTCTGGGTCATCATCCATCTCTATCCCTTCCTCAAGGGGTTGCTTGGGAAACAGGATCGCATGCCTACAATCATTGTGGTATGGTCCATTTTATTGGCCTCAATCCTGACCCTTTTGTGGGTTCGAGTAAATCCATTCGTGTCAAGAGATGGCCCAGTGTTAGAAGTTTGTGGTTTGAATTGTGATTAGGACACCGAGAATAAAAGAAGCTTCAGATGGGTCTGAGGTGCAAAGGTCTGCTGTGGAGTTGGAATGGATTGATTCTTGAAACTGAGCACAGCAGATGCACATGAGACAGGAAAAGAAGAAATTTTGTGGGAAGGAAGCTTTATATAGTTTGGGGGGTGTTTGTAGATATAGAGCAGGGGTTGGGTTGGGGGGTTGAAAACATTGTTATTTGTCTTACAAGATTTTCATTAATTCTTTTATTATATTGCCATGGGTTTTTGCTTCTGTAATTTTCTGGGTTCTGTACTCCTAAGAGAGAGAGCCATTGAGTTATATTTATTCCCTTTGTCAAATATGGGGAGGGCTCCGTATAGATGTCTGAAAACCACTTCTCAGTCTCATTTCTATTGTTTTTTTTTAGTGTTATTTCTCTGGACCAGAACGTGTACCATGCCTATTTGAAGTCACCATTATTATGGAATTGTATGTTCTTCTTCTCCCATTTTGACGCAGACTTATTACTGAAATTGGATTCTTTTTGTGATCAGATTTCTAATTACTCAGTCATTTGGAACTTGACCGCTCCAAACAATATTTACTTTATTCAGGATATGCATAAACTAGATTAGCTGTGAATAGAGTAGCTGGGTGCATGGTGTTTGATTTTGGACGAGGATTGCGAGTAGAAAATGCCAAACTTTTAATTGTACATCCAAGTCGTAGCATATATAAGTCGGTCTGGATTTAACTACAGTTGGTTAAACCTATTTACATAATACTAATCCAACATGTATGCTTTTTTTGTTTTGTTCAGATAGGATTGTGTACTTATCATCTTACTGTAAAGGTATTCTGGATCGAATTGAAGAAGAGCATACTGTCATAAAGGGAGATGAGTGTGCAAGGCTGGAGCACCAAGAAAAAGAAGATTGAAGAGATGGTTGCATGGGGAGTATCAGTAGAGATAAAAAAAAAAAAAAAAAAAAAAAAGAATCTAGTTAAAGAAGAGAGAGTAGTAACAAATCTTTTAGGAATTTGATTTATTATCAATAGCAAGAAACAGGTTTGAGTTCAGTTTTATTGGGATGAGATCTCTAATTTCTTGTCACTCTGGAACCTGTTTACGACTATAAACGTCTGCTTTGTTCAAAACATGCATAAATAGAGTAATTATGCTGTGGTGTTCGATTTTGGATGAGGTTTGCAAGTAGCAAAAGGTCAAATCTCAATATGTACATCTGAGCCATGTGTATAGGTTAGTTTAGATTTAACATAATTGGTTAAATCTATTTATGTAATAATCGTCCAATGTATAGACCATGTTAGGTTTGTTTAGATAGAACTGAAAATATGTAATTGTAAAGCTGTTCTGAAAATTTTGAGTTAAGTGAGAAACACTATTTATTTAGGGATTTATTGTTTACGGGCTACAGAAAAATGATTACGGAGGAATATATTTTTTTCAGGAACTCGATTCATCACTATTTATGGACTTTTCTCATTCAAATCAGGCTTGTAAAGGAAGTTTAAAACCTGGCGTGTCGTTCCCTTAAAATGACTCCATAAAATTCTGTAATAAAATAGAAGTTCCATCCTTCATTTTATGTCTAAAGAAGGTTTTAAGGAGCAAAAGTGAATTAAGAAGTCACATGCAGTTGTGGCTATAAAGGATCAGTGGTCTCAGCAATAAGCATACGTTGTTAGGCATTTTCTTCCATAGTTTAGCCTCAATGTTCGCTTCCAGCTTCGAATCCATGGTCTCGTATATCTTCGCCATAAATTCTTGGAATCTTTGATCTATTACTCTAATTGATTCCTCCACTTGATTAATCTTCTAAGAGTTTGTCATGACAATGTATTTTCTTCTTTTTGCCAGCCTAAAAATTGAAGCTAGTGACTTTCTGGTGTAGCTTACTTAGTCACCAGATTGTTAGGAACCTAATTCATTAGGTGTAATAAAAAATAAGTTTGGTTCAATTTTGAAAAGTTTTACTATTGAAAGAGGCAAATTAGAGAGGAGAAAGAAGAGAGCCGAAGTAAAGCATAAAATAATGCTAGAGAGGATAAGATAATTTTGCTGGCCAGTTTCTTACCTCATTTTCTATCTATTCTAACCTCATAGAAAACCTTACGATCAGAATGGTATAGGTACATCAGGTACTTTCGTACCAATATTCCGTACTCAAACAATTTATTTGAGATTTTTTTAATAATTTTTAAGTAGTTTACAACTTTTATGTTAATTCGGTATTAATTCATAAGTAAGAATTTTTATTTTTATAAGAACACTCATGAAAAATCATTTCAAGAGATATTACTGCATTTTTTTAAAATATAATTTTTTTCAAAAGAAATAATTACAATAAATTGAAGAAGAGATATAATCTAATAGAAGAGCGTAAAAGGAGCCTTCATAAGCTTGTGATTATAATTGAAGGTGAAATATACGTACCCATATAAAGAAAGTAAAAAGTTTTCTTCAGTAAGTTAGAGAACATTTGATTAGATGAAATATTAATTCATCTTAATCATTATTAAGTGAACCTAGGCACATATTAAGCATAATGATCTTATACATAAGATCATGTGCATATGAAAAATGGGAACAATAACATTGGACTAACATTTCTATGGAGAGTTTTAGGAAAAATCACCTTGGAAAAACCAAAATTCTTGGAGAGAAAATCCTTGAGGCCGCACATTATGCTAAATTGGATAAAAAGAAGCTTTTATGTAGCTTACTTATAATAGGTGCATAATATGTGGCTATCATTGAGGAAATATTATGGCTTAAAGGTTTACTGTCTATCTCAAATTTGGTGAAAAAAGAATAATTATGTTTTATAGTAATTAAAATGTTACTCACTTGATAAATTAAACGTAACATGTAACATGAAAAAACCAAATAAATCATGATTTAGTATCATTTTGTTTAAGAAATTGTATATATAAGCTTAGAAGACTTTAACTAAGAATGATCTTATAAACATGTTATCAAAACTAATCAATGGAATTAGGTTCAACCATTGTTTAATCTTGGTTTGTACTCTAGGCATCTAATAGCCCCAAGAGGCAACGACGTGTACATTGAAGAATTATACTATCTTATTTCAATTTTTAAATAATTCCCAAAGAAGAGATTGCTGTGAAATCGATAATTTCGACAATTGGGTTGATTGTACAAATGTCAATCTCTCTCTCATTCTTTTTTTTAAACGTAATAAATAAAAATTTCTTTTATACCTATAAATACAATTACTTTAACGATTATGAGTATTCAAAAGTACCAAAAGTAAAAGACTAAAGTAATGGTGTAAGAGAGATAATAAAAAGTGTAACGAGTTAAAGTAATATCTAATGTGTATGTACAAATAGTATGACTTACATTCTCAATTATTTTATTAATAAGATTGAGTATAATTGGAATTACTGAATTAAGAAAATAGTGTCTCAAAGTGTTGCATAGTAATTTTATAAATTTATAACAAAAATTTTTTGAACCCTATTTATCCGAGAAATATGTTACAAACCCTATTTATAATAAATTTATGCTTAGATATATAATTATAACAAACTATTATATATAAAATAATTAAATTATAAATTGAATAGGGATAAAATAAGTTTGAATAAAAATAATATAAAAAAGAAAAAAGGAAAAAAATGATTATTATTCCACACCAAAAAAATTTATATAGAATAAAATGCATATTCTATTGTTACCGTTTGGCACTTCAAAAACTTTTAAGAAATTACAACTATCGTTCTTATTGACTGACTCTAACAAATGAATGAATTAACAGGCTGTGGAAATGAGAGTGAAGCTTCAAATTTCAAAACGCCAAAAGAATTGACAACCTTCCTATTTGAATATATATATATATATATGTAGATATATATAAGTTGACATTTTTTTTAAGTCATTCATTCCAAATTATTCTACAGATAGAAAATGGTGCCAAGCATTTGTCAACTTTTTCTTACTTCAACTTTTAAAATAATATAAAAATTTTGCAGCTTTCCATTTCAAATAAGTTCAAACTTTGTGGAATAATAAGCACAAATAAGAATAACACTAGAAGCAAATATTTTAAAATTTCCATACCTCATTGTTATTTTTATTATTATTTCAATAACTGATTTATTTATTTTTTCCTCAGAAGAATGTGTAAAAAATAAAAAATTTCTAAAACAATTTGTATACTATATGGAACGTCTTAATTAATTTTTTTTCATTGAGATATAGTATAATTGGATAACTCCTTAATTAACTTTTAATTTTGAATGAATTGATAACATTTTTTAACCCGTTTTGATTCGATTTTCATTTAACGTACGCTTTTAATTTTTTTAGATTAATTTTTTTTATAGTTTTTTTAAAATTAATCTCGAATTCAGAATCATTATTTTAAAATTGTGATTGCTTAAAAATACTTATGAATTAATTTTTTATGTTTGATATATTTAATTTTATATTTATTTATATTTAAAAATATATAATAAGGTTAAAGACATAGTTTAAAATCAAATTAAAAAAATGATAGATAAGGATGAAGGAGCGAAAATAAGCATGAAGAGGTATGAAAAAAGGTGAGAACATTTTAAATAAAGTGGTATAACAAAAAGTATTAACTTTTAGATAAAATGACATAACGAAATGTGACAACTTTTAAATGAAGTGACATATAAAAAGTAGTAATTTTTAGATAAAATGACATGTGAAAAGTGATAACATTTAGATGAAGTGACATCACATAAAGTAGCAACTTTTAGATGAATTGTTATGTAAAAAGTAGTAACTTTTTAGATAAAGTGGTATGTGAAAAGACATTTTAGATAAAACGACATGTGAAAGGGAGTAACATTTTAGATAAAGTGACATGATGAAAGATGACAACTTTTAGATGAAATGATATGACAGAATGATGACAACTTTTCTCTCGTGATTCCCCACTCCTATAAATAGGGATAAGAGAAAAGAGGAAGAGACATTCCATATAAGGAAAAAATAGTGAGAAATATATAGGTGAAGGAAGAAGATAGAGTACAAAATATGTAATTTTTGAGAGTATTTTGAAGTTTTAGATAAAACCTTTGGGGAAACTCTGCTAAATTTGTGAGAGCTAAAGAAGAGGAAGA